AATAGTAATAAAAGAGCTGAAAGGAAGACAGCTGTCAGGAAGAAAAACAAAATGCTTAGATCATTTGCTTACTGGGTAATCAAGCAAGGAAAACCTGAACGGTGACTGAATGTTCTCACACAGTGATGTTTACACCAATAACACAACATTTTAGAATACAGAAAAATACATACATGGAAAGATAAAATTTGAGACTTTTTAGTAAAACAGTTCAAAATACACTTTAAATAGACTTTTTAAAGCAAGAGAAAAAAAGTGAGGGGAAAAGGGCCATTAAGGAATATTTGAGTCTGAATGACAGTGTTTGATTGTAAATGTTTGCAGTGGAAATAATTTGAGTCTCAACCCAAAGAGTATCAACCAGATGGAATCTTGTGTGTGCTTTTCTATGAACCTTCACTGATCATTTTAACCAGACTTTATTTTTCTATTTTATTTGATTTTTTTTAATTTAAGTAACATTGGTTTACAACATTTTATATTATTTAGAGGTATGGGCTCTCCCCATTTAAGTGTTATTTCCACACCACACCCACCACCAAAATAGCCATAGTCTACCACAGGCCATTTTGCATGGAACCCACTTTGTTCTCCCCCTACTTATCCTTCTGGTAGCCTCCATTCTACAGTCAGATTTCTCGAGTTTGTTATTGGTTTGTTTTCATCTGATCCTTAGTCTTATTCCATATTCCACATATAGGTGACACCATCTGGTAATTGTCTCTCCTTCTGAATTATTTCACTTAGCATAATCTCCTCCAGTTCCATCCATGTTGTTTCAAATGGAACAGTTTATCTGGTTTTCATAGCTGAGTAGTATTCCAAAATGCATATATATTACATCTTCCTGATCCACTCATTTGTCTTTGGGCACTTAGGTCATTTCCCTGGCTTGGATAAATGATATGTTGAATATGTTGATTATATGACCTGTTGCAATAGTTTTTCTGCTATTCCTTAAATACATGAAGATACTATCATAATCACCAATTCATTTTAAAGTGCTACCAGACTCATTCATATTAGTTTTAGCAATATTTATATTCTCAGTCAATGAATATTGAAAGTATAATAACTATGATATGAAAATACAGAAAATATTTTCCATGTTAAATGGAGCCTCCTGCTCAAAGAATTTCAAGTGTCATTTCTACCCATCTCTTCTGCATAATGTTGAAAATAAGGATTCAGGCAACAACCCTAGAAAGACAAAGGATTTTTCAGAATTACAGTTTCTAATAAGAAGATTGCTTAACCATACATAATATCAATAATATTCACCAATGGAAAACAAGAGTAATTTTATAACATATACCACATTATAATGTAACAATCCAATTGCTTTGTGTGTGTGTGTGTGCGCGCGGCACATTGGTGTATTTGTTGCCGAGGGCAATGTTGTGTTTTTGAACAGATCTTTGACCTAACAATATATAATGTGATGGTGAAATGACTGGGTCACATTAATCAGTCTGATCACCACTCCCAATCCTGAGTCAATTTAGTCTTCATAGAAAATACTCATTAAAAAAAATTACTATTAAAACAAGCCCAAGTTCCAGATAGTTTTATTTTTCCCACACTTGCATGACAAAGAATAATTTAGCTAATCTTTTTTTCTAATATTCCTGGCTTATTTCTTAAACAGAAGGATTCCTGTTTCAAGAAAATCTATAAATGTCCACTTTTCTTTCAAAAACCTGGTTGACCTCTAATATGATTTCAATTTCACAGGGGGCTGTGGGGGGAGTGGGCAGTGGGAATTGCGTAAAAATTATTGGTTCACTGCCATTATAATGAAAGCCATGTGTCCAGGGAAATTTACAGCCATAAATCTCTCAGTGCATATAACTTCTAATTAAAACCTCATAAAAATCGTTTCCAAATAATGAACATAATTTTGAGATCTAGATTAATTTTATTATTTCAGAAATTGAAGTGAGAAATGTGTGTCTGGGCATGCATTCTTACAGTACTGTCATTGGGATACCGGAAGAAAATACCATGGCTGTCATCTCTAAAAAATAAATGCAGGAGGAGGGAGCTACTTGGCTTTAAAAATAGTATTTACTGAGTGGAATTAACATCCAGTAGTTCTCAGTTATCTTATTTGGTTAGGAAGGCACAGAATTTAGAAAACTGGTCTCTCCAGGAAAAGAACATGTAAGCCCTAGATAGAATCCAAACTATTTTGAATAAAAATTACCTGAGTTCTGCCTTGAAAACAACTCACAGTATGTGCTGTTTTGTTGGAATGTGTGTGTTGATGAAGCCATGATCCTATTCTTTGGATCTGAACATCTCATGCAGCCCATTTTTGCCTCTTGGGAACTTCTTCTGGCCATTCCAATTTCATTAGCAAGTTCCAAGACAAGTGTTTTCCCAGAGGAAGACAGATTGCATGGAAGGGCGTATATAATAAAGGATCAATGATTCCAGCTGAAGCCAAATTTCAAAATCATTCCATGAATGATGAACAAAATATTTCTTTTCAGTTCATAGAGGACAATAATTTGGTCCTTAAAATTGTATGTTAACTGCCTTCTTTATTGAGAATTGTTTCTTTTCTCAGTTGGACAATATCGATAACAATAATAAACATGTTTAAACTATTAGTTTAAATGCAGCACTTACTCTGCCCTAAGGAGGCCTCTTTGAACTCCTTTCCCTTCTGAACATCACAGCTAACCAACAAGCATAAACCTCTATTAAATTTCAGTAAGTCTTATGGGTTTAGTACTTGCCTCTTAACATGAGGTTAATTCATCAACTATGAATATACTCTAATGATAGTTGATAGAAATTATAAATGTTGCTTTTATTGCTGCAAAATAACATTTAACCATAGGTAATACAGGTGATAAACTTCCAGCACCAGCTCAACTAGAAAACACATGCAACCATCTCTGTGCCAACTCAAATAGAGTTTTATTGAATGCACCTGATTTTAAGCTCCCTTTCAGGATTCCCTTTTAATAGTTTAATATGAACCAGTTATAACTTAACTTGTGCATATGTGCTTAAAATTTACAAAGCTACATCAGACAAGCTTATCAGTTTATAGAAACTCATCAGAAGCAGCATAACATGGATTTAATGTTTAAAAAATAAAGACCCTATTTTTAAATTAACCTGGTCCTTTGTTGTAAATTATTTTCACAATCTGCTTAGAACATCTAAGGCCCGGCCTATCAAAGGTTTCCCAAGACCCTTAATTCAGCCTTAATTCAGGCCTGGCCTTTATGTTAAAGAGCTCAAGCTGCTGACTGCCACAAGGACCCTGGGATTATGACTGAAGGAGAGTACCTAAGTGATCATTCTTCACAAACATCTGCAGCCATTGAGTTGGCGACCTGCTTGCAGGGCCGGGAAGCGGGCCATTATGGCCTGGCCTTCTGTGTCCTCTCTCAGCTGCAAGCGCACACAAGTGCCAGGTGCAGAAGCCCTGCTCGAGAGGAGACTATAGACAAGGGTAATGGTCACAGCGATTACGAACTGATAATTATTCCCTCCCTATTTCCTCGTTTCAACCAACTGGTTGCTTCACTGGTTATTTTCTCTTTATTGCTGAAAACGGTATTCTATGGATTCGGGCTGATTATATCTTTCTTTCTAGCAAGACTTTTATTTCAAAATTATATAGCATGTAATTTGATAGATTGTACCTATTAGCCACAAATCTGGAGAAATCACTCTATTCAGTATTTCACAGTGGAAGGTCGCAGGGTTAATGCAAAATATTATACTCCCGATACTCCTTTTCTTTTTAACTATAACTCCATATGTGGTCCACTTGATTTTTTCTTTAGCCTGTTTGTATTGGTTGAGCAAATTCTCTATTTATATTTGCAGTACATTCCTCATTTTCATGACATAGACTTAAGCTGTATTTATTTCTGTGCACCTACTAGAGCACACCACTGTGCTTGCATTCACAAATGTGGCACAAATTTTATATGATACAATAAAATAAGAGTTTTTATAATAGTGCACTATATGACCAAACACTAATTAAAAACAGGATGGAGCTTTTATTTCCCCCATTAGAGATTTGAGGCCCAAAGTGTTTCAGTAGAACAATGGTTTTCATTGCTATGCAGCATAGTTATTAAAGGTTGTCTGAACACAAGCATTTAAGTGAATATTGTACAAGTAATAGGGCTACTCAGTGATGTTAACCTAAGTAACTATCTGCCAAAGTTAAGAACTATAAAAGAAATTTGGGATTGGGTATTTAAAAATTACATAATTGAAACAATGTAAAATGGGCACAGTGCTCTCATACAAGTGAATAGAAACACTTTTATCCAGAATCTCAAAATGATCAACTTGCCAAGTTTTCATTGCTACAGGAAAATTGAAATCTTACAGATAAGCTCAACCAATTTTAGTGACATCTTAAACAGAGATTTAGCATTTCTGGGAATTTTTTCCCCATGAGAGGGGAAAAATTGTTCTCAATATTTTTGTTATTTTACTCAAAAGTTTAAAAAAAATAAACCTAGTGAGAATATTAAAATCATGCAAATGGTCAGCACATTTTCTAGATCAAAGTTAATGTTAATGCTGCTTCCTTATGAGTAGTACTTAGATTAGATAGAAATTGGTTTGTTCACAAAACTATCATATTTATTATATTGAATTTTAAAATAAACTTAACCAGGAAATGTAAGAGTTACTACTTTAATTTCTTTTTTTTTTTTCAATAAATGGGAGCTCATACTGTTGAACTTTATGGAATCCAATACTTCTTTCTTACTTAACTTTTTCTAGAATATGAGAAGCAAACCAGGAGTACAAAGGAAAAGAATATTTTTCAACATACCCTACTGTGCCAAATGGATCCTAAAAGTCCTTTTTTTAGAAATAGATTTGAGAGAAAAGGGAAGAGATACAAACTGCATCAATTATTACTATTACATATGAAATATTATGTAGTACTCTGCATTGGAATTGACTACTCACATGACAATATTTTGAAATCTTTTTCTCTCTTGCAGTGTGGAAATGTTTCCATATGTTACAAGTTGGTTTCACCATTTCACTGAGGGAAATAAATAAAACAAATGAATCCTGTGGCCAACATGAACATAAACATCAAGTTACAAACCACAGGTACAGACCCAGCACCTGAATTAACTGTCCCCCACGCTCCAGTTCCACCACACTATGTTGGCTAAGACTTGCTTGTGAATTTTCCATGCAACACCAGAGTTAGGGATTCCACTAGGATTTAAATGCAAGTTGTATAAACACCTAGTACTGAATCTAATACATACACTGTGGATGTCTGAATCATATGCAGTATCTACTATGATTTAGTATCTACTGTGATTTAGGTGTTTTCACACACCTATTCATTCATCTAAGGTTGAAAGTAATATAAAAATTTGTCAAAGGCACTTTTTTCTTTTTAAATGAAAAACAGTACATTTGCCAAATATCATGTAGGTCATCAGGCCAGGAGTAGCCAGTTCCAGTTTAGTTTGATATTTTCTCACATTCTTCTGTCGTGGTCATTTTCAGAAACAAAGCAATACATTTTTTTACATTCTAATTTCTCCAAGACTGGAGAAATACCATATTTCTGGCTTACCATATTTCTGGCTCTCCAGCATCTTAATGTCTGTGAGTACACTGAATTCATGTAGCTTCCTTTTACAAGGCAACGGATGGGTCTCCTCCAGCAGGAACACTTCAGCTCTGGGTATGGGGACCTTGCTGCAGTGCTAATAGTGCTAATCTTCACTGCATATACCATTTCATTATATGAAGACATAGATTATGTGATGAAAGCAGCTTCCTCACGCATTCCTTTGGGCATTGTTTTTTTCTTTTACAAGCTCTTCTTCTCTCATTGTGAGCCAAACAAGATAATAACATTGAATCCACTCATTTTGGAAGAGTTTAAACAACAGATAGTCAGTTGCCCTAGTACACCCAAGTGCCTGACATGCAGTTCTGTAACCAAGCAAATGACAGTACACCAGGCCAGGCCGACTGAGCCTTACACTCGGTATCATCTAATTAGACTGAACAAACAAAGTACACTTTGCTACCCACAAAAAATCCACACCATCATAGCTAGAGAGTTAGCTTCAACACACTTTTTTGTGTGCCATTTGTCACATTGTGAGAAATGATGTTTGTTTGCTGCTATGTCTCACCTGGGGGATGCCAAAGGTGGTGAATGCTAAACCCTTTAAAATATGGAAAAGTGTCAGAGGGAAAGTTTATTTTCACTTGTTTGTTGTGAACATTACCTGGTCAGGAATGTTAATAATAAGGAAGGATTTCCCAAAATATTTTGATAAAATGCCAAATATAAGAGAGATAAAGATATTCAGAATATATACTGTGGCTGTGGATTTGAGTTTACTGGTCCTCAAAGGGACAGTGTTAAGTGGTAACTCTTCAGTTTAACCTCTCTTAACCTCTTCACCATGTGTGACTTGCAATTTTTTTAGTTATAATGATGTCACAGAGTATTTTCATTCTAAATTTTCTTTTTTTAAAGTTTTATTTATTTTTATGCATACAAGAAATTGGATACAGGCCAGAGGTGCGGGGTACATGAGGATTCACCAGAGACAGTGGAGAACAGAACAGGCACACTGACTGAAATACACTGCTGAGGGGAGTAGCGTGCAAGATAGGAGAGGTCTGCTGTGCCATGTGGGTAGCTCCCTGGCTGGCCGGGGATGGAACTTGTGCTACAGAGTTTGAGGATAGCTTCACAGTGCTGTGCTTAACCCCTTGCACCACCAGGGAGGCCCTCATTCTAAATTTTCAAAACCAGATGCATAATTAAACTATTCTACCATTTCTCTCTACACTAAAAGCACCTATTTGATACCTCTTATTTTTAAAATGAATAATTATTTTTCTTACACTTATGTTAACTTCATGTCTTCGGTTTTACATTTTCCCTGGAAATTCAGTGAGTTCTTCAGAGTCACAAGAATTTAATTTTTCTGAATAAGAATCATAAATAAGATACTTATTTTATAAAAACTTGGATTTTACCCTATAAATTTTAGTAATCAAATTAGAATAAACTTAAAACCTGAGACTTTGATGTTGCAGAAATCTGCACCACTGTCTGGCTAACACACCACTTGTGAAAATATTCCTTCTCCAATTTAAAATACGTGGGTCCTAGAAAGAGCAGCAGTGATCTTACACAAGTCTACCCACCCCCATGGAACACCAAGCCCCAGCTGATTGCCCCAGAAGTGAGCACTTAACCAAAAATGTCCAGATTCCTTTACCAAGTCTTTTGAAATGAATTCAGTATAGACAGTTTGTCTTTAATAATGGAAGCAACACAATGAGAAGTTCAATAGTTATTAATGATCACTTTCCCTGTTCTATAGAGGAACATGATCCACAATTAAAGGGGATGAAACTAACAAAAAAAAAGAGAAAAAAAGATGAGAGTTGGTGTGAAAGACCCCCATCAGCTTTCAAGTCCCCAGTCACAGACCCTCAGTCCAGTCACATCTTCGCCTTTCTTGTGGTTCAGCTCTTCAACATTTCCCACCAGTAAATTCCTCTAACTAACCAAACTAGTTCAGGATGACTTTCTGTCAGTTAATTTAAAATAAACAATTATTACACTTGTGTGAATTCCTAAATAATGGAGATTTTGAAAATATGAAAAGTTTGATTACAGTGGAAATTGAAACTCCTTGACAGTGTTATTTATTTTCACTTACTCAGCACAATAATAAAGGAAAAGGCTGTGAACAAATCCAGAATTTCCAAGGGATCCAAGGAAACCTCAGCTCCAAAATCTTATATTACAAATAATATCAGTCAATTAGCAATTATTTGAGGGTTTTTTTTTTCTATTTTTTCAGCACTGGTAGTGATATAAGAGAATAATATATGTCCCAATGGGTTATATTTTCCTTATTCACTTAATAAGTAGTTACTGCTTTAGTAATTTAGCCAAGACCACAAATGTACTAAATTTAAATTTAAGTCAAGATTTAAATACAGAAGTTATTTCAGGGCCAGTTTGTTATTTTTTAGCCAACTATGCATTATCTCTTTCTGATGTGAATATTTTTCCCTCCACCTAAATATTTTATTTTGACAAATTTTCAACTTAAAGTTGTAAGAATAGGACAATAAATTCCATATGCCATTCATCTAGATTCACCAATTGTGGTACATTTGCCCATTCTAATGGTAGACAGATAGACAGATATATAGATACATAGATGCTAAGTGATATGAAATTAAGTGACAGATAGCATGACCCTTCAGCCCAAGATACTTCAGCATGTAACTTGAAAGAATCTAGGCTAAACAGATTTGCTGCACCTGCTTTGCCTTTCTTTGAATTAACACTTTGAAACGTCAAAGTGAGTTGTCTTTAAAGTATCTCACAATCTCGATCTGTCTGATCATTTCCTCATGATGGACACAGATTATACTTTCTTGACAAGAATTCAGCTTAGGTGATACTGAATGCTTTCCCATACATTGCATCAGGAGGATAGAAATCCTTTTATTTTTAAGATCATTTATCACTGCTTTTCATTTTTATGTTTGAATTTTTCCAAATTTCATCAGCGAAAGCCTTGTTAAATTTGTTTTTCTGTTGTTTTGATATGCCCTCTTTACTTTTGGAGTACTTTCTTTTGCAAGCACAAAATATTTTAGCTCACCTTCCACCTCCCTATCCCAGACCTGGAATCAGCCATATTCCCTTGGAGCCTGGGTCCATTTACTGGGGAATGGTATTAGAGACTGAATGGAGGTGATAGCTCATTACCTCTGGGTTGTCATTGCTTTAGTCTTTTTCAATGCACCGAACTGTGAAATACATTTTATAGCCTCCCAGAAACTTGGACCTCTATAATGTCAACATTATATACTTATTTGCTCTATTCTACAATACTTATCAATCAGCTAGCAATTTCAATGCCAAGAATAAAACTGACCACATATCTGAGAAATTCAGTGAGAGGAGAGGAGCTACCAGGGGAGGGAGAACACAGTGAAATATGGTGGAGGACCACGGGTGCTTTTGTGGAGGGAGAGCTATGTGACTATGCCTGAGGGGGGAAATCTTACACTGTCAAAACACTAACAAGGCTGTAAAACAATTGTACTTGAATTTAAAAAAGAAAATAAATGCATTTTCTGTTTCTTAAAAAAAAAAACAAAACTGGGCCTCCCTGGTGGCTCAGGGGTTATAGTCTCAGCACTATCAAGCTATCGCCAGCTACTGCAACACGATAGTTAGATCCCCAGCCAGGAAATTGGCCCACTTGGCTCAGCAGACCTCTCCTGTTTTACTTGCTGCTCCCCTCAGCAGTGTATTTCAGTAGATCTGCCTGTTCTGCTCCCTACTCTGTCTCTGATGAATTCTCTCACCATCTGCCTCAACACCGCAGTATGCATAAATAAATTAAAAATCTTTAAAAACAAAACTGCTAAGTTCAAGTTTTCCTGGAAGTTCTTGTCTTAGACTACATAGTGCTAACAGTACTGAGCCAGAATACCTTGTTATGTCAGTACTCAGCCAGTACTGAGAACATGGGTGGTCATGTTCTCACTTTGAGTTGTTATCAGGCTTAAATGTCTGTCATAGTTCTTTCACCTCATAAATCCCTCATTCTTGATTTCTTTACTTTCCTCTGTCTTTATTTTGGCTAATTATGTTTCTAGGTAACTTTTTCAGGATGATATTTTCTAGCACCTTGCCATATCTTTGAATTCTTTCTGCAAAGTGTTTATGCCTGAATGAAAATTTCCATATTCTTGCCCGTTTCTTAGTTTTATCCCAAATATATTAAAAATTTGATGCCATTGCTAAGTAGAATTTGATCCCACTGTTTTTCTGATTATAACAACTATGACATTGTATTTCTTTGGAAAAAGTCCATAGTAATTAATCATCTGAGAGTTCAAATATTTTAATTGATATTTTTTGCTTTTGTAAAATATGGAAATTCAGAAACTCTTTTGCTTAAGAACAATGTCTCTTCCCAAAAATTTGTTCATCAATTCAAATGTTTGGTAACCCAAATTGACAGCATATTTGTTGATAGCATCTAAAAGTATGAGAAGAGTTAATGTACTTTTTTGGTCAGTTGTATTAAAGTCAATTACCATATATAGCACTAAGTTTAAATACATGTTATACTTGCAGAAACAAAATAAAATACAAATACTAGTGGTGAACCCTGAAAGGAATGAAAGATAAAATTAGATTAAATTAATTATTTAGTAGTCATTATCATTGTCTATAATAAACATTGATAAACTACTAGGGTAAAGGAGAAAAAAAGCAAATTAACTGCAAGCTAGCAATTTTGCAAACATTACAAGCATATTCTTAACATTGGCTAGAAAGTAAATATAGTTTTCATTCTTTAACTTTAAAATCATCATCAGTTGCTAGTGTAATGTGGGTTTGCATCTTGCTAGATAATATTCAACTTGATGTGGAAAACAAGAAAAATAGAATGAATGACACCCATACAGGATAATTATTAAGCATAATTAAGGAAGCAATTTATGGGAGACAGATGAAATTCACAGGATGTATTAATTTTAGGTAATGAGTACGCAGGAAGCTCAGGAGACACAGGCAGCAAACAAGAGATTTATTAAATATAGAGTAATTTAGCACCTGTAAGACATGTTAGATACATAAATGGAACATATAATGGAATAACTAAAATGACACTTAAAGATAGAAAGGAATGATGATAAGATAGAGTAATAAATCATAGGTCATGTCACTTCTATGCTGACAACTGTCACCTATAAATTATCCATGTGTTGGTAACACCCATCCTGGTCTTATTCTGACCTGACTTTGCTCAAAAATTTGCATTAAAACCCCCAGAACTGTTCAGTAGAGTAACTGTCAGGTCACTGCAGGGATCAGACATATTTACCTGCTTCTCATGGATACAGCAAATTGCCCCTGAGTGAGGTTCCTCTAATAGATTTCTTCACAACCATACCACCAGCCTGGAGGACTTAACATCCAGGGAAAGACAGCGTGGCCTTCTACCCTGCTTGTAACCTACCTGAAGTGTGATAGCCTCTTCCCTTTTTACCCCTTGCTTCTCATCATGTATTTTAAATGATTCCATAAACTACATGACTTGAGCATTTTAATCTAGTCTATGAGCTTTTCTGTTGGGATAGTTTATCTGGCTAATATATTTGGAGGTATTGAGACATAAAAGTAATTTATCATGTGACACCAAACTTTAAAATATTAATGTATTAATTTTTATAATTATTTTCAATCATTTAAAGGCAAAGTCAGGCCTCCCTGGTGGTGCAGGGGTTAAAGACTGTGCTATCAAGCTATTGCCAGCCACTGCAGCATGAGTTCTATCCCTGGCTGGCCAGGGAGCAACCCACATGGTGCAGCAGACCTCTCCTGCCTCGCCCACTTCTCCACTTAGCAGTGTATCTCAGTATATCTGTGTGTTCTGCTCCCCACTCTCTTTGGTGAATCCTCTCACCATCCACACCTCTGGCTTACCCCCAGTTCTTACATGCGTAAATGAATAAATCGTTAAAAAATAAATAAAAGGCAAAGTCTTAAGTTCTAGAAAAATCTAATCATACATTTATAAAATAAACACTTTAGCATAGAAAATAAAAAGTAAATGCTTGAGCAAACATTAATCAGGCAAATACCAGCCAAGGAAAGTACCTTTGTAACATAGATGATAAACTTACATGCCAACAAGTTGATTTCAAGAGTTCACCCATTTTTCAAATCATATATCATGTGTCCTGAATCAGTGAGTAAGAAAGGAATGGAATCACACTGAATGTGTGAGTTACTACATACATTCTGCCACTCATCTTTTGTAGACAGTGGTCAGCAGCAAGCAAATCTTCCCAATGCCAGGAATGCCTGATTTCACAATGTCTCCTCTATTACACTGGAAAATCACATGTGAGCCAAGTGAATTTTAAAAGAATCAGAGAGGGCCTCCCTGGTGGTGCAAGGGGTGAAGACGCCAGTGGAACTAAGGCAAGAACTAGGATGGAGAGAAAGGTCGTTTAGGTTGCAGAGTTGATGAAATGAGATTGTCTTTCCCCTGAGGGAAACAGGGCTTGGAGGGGACCCCCGGGCACAGACTGAATAGCAATGAAATGGGAGATGGGCCTCTCTCACTGGATGCTAAGTCATAGACCCTGACCTTTTACCTGCATTTCATCTTCCTATATCTGTAAACAACAGACTTACTGGGCAACTGACTGCTGCAAATCAAGACGAGATTGTATAGAGAGTTCAGGAAGAAGATAGTGAGGCACCCTGCTCTCAGATGGGTTCCATGACTCCATGGAAAAGAACAGATGGGGGAAGACGCAGGACATTAGCAGAGGCTTCAAGCAACAAGCAGACCCTGAACTGGTCATAGAAGGTGCCCTGTAGTTCTTAAATAGTAAAAGCCATACTATTAAATCACCTTTTGACATACCTGCTATATTATTTATTTTTATTTTTCAAGGTACGTTTTAATTGTGTGCATATTTCATATCGCTCCTACTCTTTTTTTTTTTTTTTACTAAAGACAGGGTTCTAATCTACCATTTCTCCGATAAGCATCTTAAGTTAGTGTTTTAAATAGATGTATTGAAGAAGTGTTTCTGAATGAATAAGCAGATGAAAGAATAAATACTGTATGAAATAGCCAACACACTTGCCTGAGTCAGTTTATACCAGCAGTGGCCTCACATTCCGAACTTAGAACTTGATACCACAATTACTACTTTTGGTTTTATCTCGTAATCTTAGTACAAAAGTGCAGACTGTAAAGAAAGATTACTATTTCCCAGTGGTAATGATGCCTTCCTAAAGCTTCTCTTGGTTCCATATCTCTACTAAGATACTGCCTTATCTCTCACTACACTGTACTCTCGATTTCTCAAAAAGAGTTTTCTGCATTTTGATGAGGTGGTGACATTTGCTGTGTTTGCAAAGAGTTGCCGTGAAGTAGGGAGTAGGGACCAGATCATACACTCATTTCAGATAAATTAGAGACCTGGGAGACTCCCTGGTAAGAGTGTCAAGTACACTGTTAATATGTTCTCTTATACTCCACTTCTTCACTTACTCTTCTCATTCATTCACAAATGTGGGTCTATCCCTCTCTAATTCTATTGATATTTCCAGCTGAATTTCTACATAATGGACAGCAAATCATTTGTCTTATTATTCCCTCTTCCATATCTCATTATTGTCTTCCTTTGGAACTTGGAAAAACTTTCAAGGGGATATAGTCTTAAAACTGGAAATTATACTTAAAATATTTAAATACTGTCTACCTTGAAGAAGAACAATTCAAGAGTATCCAGTACATATTGAATGAGGCTGTATAGTGAATTAGTGAGGGAAAATTTAAAAACCTGTTTATGTTTTAGGATCTCTTTTGATTTACCATCCAACCAATCATATAACACTAGCTATTGCATAATATTTTTTCATTTCTCTATTATATTTACTTTGAATTTTTTAACTGAACAATAGCTAAATTGATGATTATGATGGTTTTGTATTAATTTATAGCATATATTGTTCAATGTATACCGATAATGGGATATTGAATAAGTACAAGAACTATAAAGAACATATGTTAAAGTGCAGGACATTAATGAACACAACAAAATAATAAAATTATGCACAATCACCCCAATATACTGTTCATCAGATTGGTACAATAACTCATCTAATCAAAATTTTATACCAAGTTATCTCCAGTACTTCAGAAGGATTAAAAAAGAAAAAATATAGTCATTAATATATGTAAATTGACTTTATATCTAAGTTATGTTATATAATTTATATATTAATATTTTATATGTTATCTCAAAAACTTTTTTAAATGTTTTAAATTTATAAAAATAATTTTTTAAATTACTGAGAAATTTCTAAAATTTCATTTTAATGCATAGAAAAAAATTAATCAATTAAAAATTACAACAGAGGGCCTCCCTGGTGGCACAAGGGGTTAAGAAATGCAACCTATGAAGCTATCTGCAGCCACTGCAGCATGAGTTCCATCCCTGGCCAGGGAGCTACCCATATGGCGCACCAGACCTCTCCTGACTCTCCTGCTGCTCCCCTCAGCAGTGTATTTCAGTTGATCTGCCTGTTCTGTTCCCCCCTCTGTCTCTGGTGAATCCTCTCACCCATCCACACCTCTGGCCTGTACCCCAGTTCTTGTATGCAAAAAATAAATAAATCTTTTTTAAAAATTACAATAGAAATTTTAAAGATGTCATAAGGACAGTTTTTTTCTATTTTAGAAGCTGGAATATATCAATGATATTTAAATCTACACATTGATATGTGTTAAATTATCAAACTTCAAGTGGTGTCATGTTTATAATTGACAAATTGTTCCTTTCTTTCATATTTAAATTAAATCAAATACCATGTATCACTTAAAAATGGGGAAATTTCAAAAATTTCTTCTATCTTATGAATATTATTAAATATATTAAATGAAGTCTATACATATAATTTTCATGTGATGATATATTTACCTCACATAGTTCCTTTATAAATGATGCATAAAAGGAGTGAAGTGATTATGAAAATACATAAAGGAGATTATACGTTACAATGAATGGAATATATTAATCAAAAGAGTTGGAAAACTGTTCTAATCTGCTTTAATTATCACCCAGAGTTTGCATGTACACTCCAGATAGATCACTGGAAGAACAAGCACACCTGCTGGGTACATATCACTATCTTGTTTTCTTATCACAGTTTATTTTATCTTGCATACTACTCTATAGTTAAAGTTTTAGTGTGCCCATTCATATCCATGCAAACAAGCAGTGAAATGGTATTTGCAGGTCTCCCCAATTATGTATGTACCGAAGTAAATAAAAGTAACCTCTTGGATTTTTTTAAACATTCAGAAAATCTTTACTCCTAATGCAATAGCCCATCAGTTTATGCTCCAAAAGTTGAAGCCAACAAAGTTAAAGTCAGCCTTGATTGGCATTTAGAATTTTATGTATTTCAAAATGTGCGTAATTTTAATTAAGTCCTAAATCGCTTTAGATGAAAGTACGTAAAGAAAATTATTTTCCTACTATAGAAGCACAGGGATTTAACTTGGCTCCCTGAGGTCTTTACAAATCACTTAATCCCTTTTTCCCAGTTTCTGGTTAAGAATTATGTGCCTACCATATAGAAATGGGATGATCAAATACTCTAACATCTATAATGAGCTTTGAAGTTCAGTAATACGAATGTACTGGTTGGGTAGCAGCACTATTGTTCTCATTGTGTTTCATTACTTTCCTGACCCAGGGTTTCTGTGGATGTGAACCCGCAACAAAGCATTCATGGAGCGCACGTGTTTCAAACTGTCACATTAGCTGCCTGTGTTTACACACAAAATGTCTACTTACTGGCAAATTCGTATAACCTATTATTTATTATTTGATATGTATCAGCTTTTCCATTCCTAAAACTTTTTTCATCAGAGTCACCGTGATCATTTCATGAATACAGTTCAGAATATTCTTCATGGCACAAAGCCTAAGTTGGATAACAAGACATTTCATGGATGTAATTTGGACCAAAAAAAAAAAAAGTAGTTGGATTTTATAACCTGACAAATGAATAAGCCATCAAGAAGGACCAATATTTAAAATATGTGTACATGATGAGATCAAATATTGCCAAATCAATGTAACTTCCTGAAATCCCAGTAAAAATGAGAACCCGAAGACTAGTTCACTGATATCCATACGAAGTACCTTAATAAAATAAGACACATTTCTCTTTTTCTTTCTTCATCAATTTCCATTTCAGAGTGATGTGAAGGCTTATGTTTCAGACTGGAGCCAAGAATCATCTTTGTATTAACTCTACGTGTTTAGAGAATTTTGCCAGACCTTTCTTAGGGCTCACACAGTGTCTTTATCTGCCAAAAAAAAAAAATGCAAATTTCATGAGATGGGTTTGTCACACAAATAAGGACTTATTTAAAAAATTAATCTAGTTAAAATAATATGTTCTCATTGCTATATTACATTGAAATTTTTAAACTAAGAATAACTAAAGTTGTTTTGAGTGAAATATGAAACATGTTTATGAGTAATGATAATACCTATGAATGATATTGAAAAATGAATCCAGTCATATCATTGTAATCTCATTAGTAAATTAATGTATTTGAATAGTGTAGTTTAGAATAATTTTTTGTCTCTTGCTTTGTGCATTTTAGGTGTTCATTATTTCCTAATTGTCAAAAAATGAATGGGCGAATAAACCAATGAATGAATTGCCTTCAAGACAATACAATGAATGGGTGAATGAAATACAATGTTTTAGTATAAAAATGGAATAAATATTGATATTTTAAGAGTAGTTTCAGAAAAGAAAAGACTGTTAGAAAGAGGTCTGGTGAAAAACAGAGGTTGGTGAACACTAGAAAAAAGATGGTTGTTTACTGAGCACCCACTATGTGTGTAGTTTATTATTAAATATTAAAATGGCTGTTTTAATGTACTCAGAACAAAATACACAGCAGGGAGACTTTCTAAAATTGCTGAACTAAAAAATATGCAGCGTTTCCTATAAATATTATACTGTTTATACTTTAAATATGTACTCAGATCTAATTGACAGTTCTGATAGACCTAAACATTCAGTCATTTATCAAAACCAACAAAAACTAGTTTGAATAATTAATGATTACAGGAACCATTGTTCTTCAATTTCCTTCACTTGTGTAGAGAGGCAACACACCTTTGGTGATGTCCTTGTGCAAAACAAGGAAACTAGAAAAACAAAAACAAAAAATTAGCAAAATTAATTTTAAATTTAAGCTAAAGGCACACTTTCATTGTGAACTTATATTCCAGTTCAATGAAAGTATAACTTGGCATACACTCATTGTTTATTAACAAGCTTGAACTTAACATTGATTAATGATTTCAAAATCAAAAAACATAGGAGTTTAAAGAAAATGTCTAGTTTTACATAGTTGTACATAGATTGTATGTGAACTATGAAATGAAATGTGAACTCTCCACATTCTATTTCCATGAACTGAACTTCTTAATTTATCCTCTTCAGTTTTATGGGGGAAATTTATTCTCTCACAGAAAATTTAAAAAGATTAAAGCTAAACATTAAAAAAGATCTTGCAAATCTCTACTTATTTCCACTCTATTTCAGTTACACTGTCTCATCTTGATACCTTGAAAATCATAATTACCAAGTAAACCAGCTCACATTCACCCCATATAAAATAGGAAGGAAAGGGAAAGAGGAAAACACACACACATACACACACACACACACACACACACACACACACGGAAACAAAGGAGGAAAATGTGACACTGTATCTTCATTTCTTCAAATTGTATGAGGAATAATATGAGGTATAGTATGAAGAATGGATGATATTTTCTTAATTTGTGA